TACACAAAAATTTTTAATTATAGATTTGAATAAAGGATCAAAAACAAAAATAAAAAATATTCATTAAAATTTTGATATCTACGGGAACATAAAGGATAAGTATAAGCGGCAAAAGTATAATTATAGATGATTATTTTGTTATACTAAATCATTTGATACCCTACATGACAAAAGTTGAATTTATTTTGTTATACCTAGTCAATTGATACTCTACATGACTAAAATTGTTTATTTTGTCATATCGAGTCAATTGATACTCTACATGACAATATTTATATAATGTATATTTGACCAGTTTTTAAATTTTTATATATTATATAGCCGCTATAACTAATGGTTTTCAATGCTATTCAAGTTTTTTTTCTGAAAATGCTTTCTAGCATTCTTAACTGGTTGTCTATAAAATGTCTCATTACTTCAATACATATTATGAGACTATATTGAAATAAGACTTTCATACGATTATACAGTATTTGTTAAACTGTAAATACAATACAAAGCATAGTTAGGAGTTTGAAGCAAATGGTTTATAAAATTTAACTTTACTTATATTAATAAATAAATTGTGTCCAAATGTTGCTAATCCGCCAAACATTTATAAAAAGTAATAAATTTAAAAGTTAGTGAAGCAAAACATATTTAATAGAAATTTGTGACTCCTGTAAACTATTCAATATTATTACATGTTATCGCATATACTTTATAGTATATATAGTATATACAGTAGTATTAACCAATATGTTGTGCATTAGATTAAATAAAACGTACGTTTATTTCATTATTTAAATAAAGATTTTTTGCAAACTTAACGATCAATTTAATACCAATATTGATTCAAAAATGACTTTTTAATAGATTTTCGCATAAATTTGCAACAATTCAAATATTCATCAATAAGTTTAGCCCTCATTTAAAGCACACATATTTTACACATATTGTTTTATTGGATGCACACAAGTGTTGAGTTTTACTCATAAATTGAATGGACTTTAAATGGGACTAAAAGTTTGCACAATAGAGCAGCTAATGTTGCAATTTTAGATTATATTTCCATCACTTTATAAAACAGTTATCATTTATCAGATCATTAGACCAATAGTGTGGAGCACTAGTAAAAACTGGACTTTTCCCAAATCAGCTCAAATCAACATTTAGTGGCAGTGAATGCCAACTATTTTTAAGGTCAACAAATATTAGCCAACATTTGAGCATTAAATTGCCATAAATTACAAGTAAAAGTCAAAAAAGACAAATGTTGGTTCATTTCTTGCAATTGTTTTCTACATTCAATGTCCACCACTTCCAGTATACACTAATATATATAACATTTATATTGTTATATACTATTTATATCTATCATAAAGAAGTACAGCTGTGACCACTTATGACTGACTATACTTTTGTCGGTTCTCTATATGGATGACACAATTTGAAGACCATTTAGCCTAACTATGCATTTATTAAATCGTTTATCAAAATAATTTTTGTTAACTCTTTGATTACTTTTTAAACTAATTGCAGCTGTTCTTCATAAGACATCTGTCTTTAATTAAAAGGTAATCAATTGTTGTGTTCTTTGGCTGAAATGGCATTCATTGACAGCTTTGTTAGTCTTATATAAATTCAATAAATTTCTAACAGTTATGTTTGCATATATATGTATACACAGTATAGTATAGAATATAAATTTATATAATATTGTTTCCTACTGTAGTCTACAATCGATTGAATATTCTGGTCATACTTAAGTTCATAAAATGACATCAATAATCATAATAATAGTAATAATAATGATATGCCTTATCTTTTATACATTTGTGTTAAGCAAATGTAGCTTTATAGTAAAGTGTAGTCATATATAAATATATATATAAATGTATATAAATGTATATAAATGGCATCAAATTGTAGTCTTACTTCGATTACTTTGCTTTAATGTGACGAATGTAGTCATAGATTAAGTTGAAATAACTTCAAAAGTGGTCCACCAGTGCTTTAAGTGCATTATAAAACGTTATCAAAATGTTAATACCAGTCGACACTAAACTTACGATCAATGTTTAGAGATTTTGTCGCCAATAGACTAACGATAACTATATACCCATTCTATTGGCATCTATTTTAACAGCTAAAGCATCTAAACATCTAATGCTAATCTATTGGGAACCCAAGTCTCTCATGTTTTCAATACTACAAAAACTACATCAATATTATAAATACTTTTACCCAATTTTTAATTTAACCAATGTTAATGTTTTTAATGTTTTCAAAATTGTTACAATCGATAAATCATAACTCTAATGATAAAAGTATTTACAAAATGATTGCCTCTCTCTCTCTCTCTCTCTCTCTCTCTCTCTCACTCACTCACTCACTAACTCACTCACTCACTCACTCACTCACTCACTCACTCACTCACTCACTCACTCACTCACTCACTCACTCACTCACTCACTCACTCATTCAAACTTAATTGAAATATGTTTAAAATGATTTTTTTAAATATTGATATGTATTTAAACGGAAATACAGTATTTATCGATTAAATGGGCAAATGTTTAGTACATTTTTAGGCAATAGAAATACATTTATTGATTTATAAGTCAAATGAAACTCTTTAAAAGTTATCACATTTTTGTAGACTATCTTTTGCAGTTTATAAAACACTTATAATGATTCATACGCTTTTAAATCAAATTAAACTAATAAATAGTGAAACAGTTCAACACTTGTTTATGAATTGTTTTAATTATCATCGCTTCATAACATTAAGCAAAAGCTGTCGACAGTTATTTCAATTAAGTTCACCTTTTTTTATGTTTTTCTCGATAACATAACTTTGAAATGAATCCAAAAATGTTATTATAATTAAATCAATAATATAAACATTTTATCTAAAATAATGTTTCAAATGTCCAAAAGTAGTAATAATGAGTTGCCATTGATTTGGTTTGTATGCCTTCACAGTCAGTGCTCAAACTCGTCACTTACTTACAGTTAGTTTGACTCTCTATCTGACTCTACAGTATGGGTGCTATTCATACAGCCGTTCTTCAATTGGCGAGACTTTAGTTGACTAAACAGTTGGTACTCTCACTTCAGTGCCTCTTAGCCGCTGTCGGCTTAACACTCACTTCAAACTTAATATACATGTCTTCCAGAAATGACAATTAAATGTCTTGGTTTGTCAACAAAGTGTTTACAACTAAATGTTAACTTCAATACAATTTGTTAGTTATTTCTTACTTTATGTGCATATTTTCTTTTAACTTTTATATATTTCTTTGTTTATTAATTCACATTTTCATCACTTTAATCACTTTTAAATTATTTACTTTATGTATAAACTATTAATTTATAATAAATTATAATTGATTTAAGTTTAATACGAAATTCATTTAAAATTTTGATATATTTTTAGTAATATTCAAAATTTATTTATTGTCTCAATTATAATAGTGTGAACTAAGTAAAGATCTAACTAAGCAACTAATCAGGAAAATTAATTAATAGTATAATAATGTAATTAAATAAAATATTCATTATGTATAATAAAGTGTTTTATTTATTATAAGTTGTTTAACTAAACGTCAAGCGACTCTTATAATATTTTAACGAAAGTTTGTTTGAATCAATATTTTGTAAAAAACATATTTAAAGTTAAATTTAAAATTATAAAACAAATAAATGAATGTTAAGACAAATGTCTTATTCATATTCTTACAAATTGAGTCAATCGTCTGCAACTCCGAGTGCTTATAATAATTATGGGTCAGAGGTGTGCAAAGGGGTCATTCCGTGTGATCCATCTGTTCCGAGACCACCAGAATGTTCTTTGTTATCATTGCTACCCATATCGCTAGTATCGGGTGCTATAGCCCTGGCCCTCGTACTTCTGGTATCGGCTTCTATATTCTATATACAATGTAAGTCATGGAAGACTTTTGTTATCTCTCAAAAAGCAGCAAAAGTTAATCGGATGATCCGTTAGTGATGTTAAGTTTAAGCATAGGGTTAGTGTTATTTCTGATGGATTGGTGGCTATATTGAAGCAATGATGTGTAGACTCAGTCATAATTCGCATATTACTGTATTCACTATTATATTGTTCACTATATTTGATAACATATTGCTTTTATTTTGTGTTTTAACAGATTTGCCACTTCACACAAAATCAACGATTAATGAAAGTTAGTATTAATTCTAAGTTATTATTCTTAAAAGTCATTACTATATAGTATATATGTTTTACACAAACAGTTATATCAAATCTTATAAATTACTGTTTTTGCCAATCCTTTAAGCAAACACTCTTAACTCTTGTCTCATGAATCAAATATACAGTATTTGTAATAATCAATGTTTCACAGCATATGATGCATTGCCACAACATTACAACTTTAGAGTCATTTCAATCATTAAAACACTTATATATATATATATAATGTATTAATACATAAAATTTGTTTAATATTTTAAATAATATAAGAATTGGATAACGATTTTATACACTTTATGGTACAGGTATATAACTTAATATAATATAAATTAATGCATTTTATAGATTATGCTGAACCTATATTAATAAAATATTATTACTTGTTTTAACATTTTATTTAATATGTATATATTTGTTAATAACAAATTTTCATCATAATTATTATTAAGCAAACTATTTATTTATAATATTGTGTTTATTTCAAAATGTTTTGTATTCAAAATCATGTATATTTTATATCTTAACTATTTTATAAATGTATTAATTTATATTTTTAATTATGTTTTTTGCTTCTTGTTGTTTTGAATATTTTTTATCAATATAATTATTTATTTTATTAAAATTTATTTTGTTAAGATTTTTGAATATAATTAATAATTTATTGTCCATTAGATGAACCTTAATTAAATAAATTAAAATAACGATTTATTAATTAAGTTATTTAAAACGTGTATAAATAATTATAATACATAAAATTACTAAAATTACTATTTTTAAATTAATATTTTTTTGCAAAATCAAAATATGGGTTAGTATTTGTTTATTTTATGCCTATGTTTGTGAAATTGTCTGCATTTAAAAATAATTGATTCATTGAATTGACATTTTAGATAAAATTATTTGTTTATTATTTAAGTTTTAATTTTCAGTTATTATATTTAGTTTAGTTTTTTATAATTATCTACAATTTACTGAAACTTATTGAAATGTTTTGAGGGGATTGTTTTTAGCGATAGTTTTAAACCTTTTAACGATTGATATGATTAATATTATCTATTAATTAAGTTTTGTAATTAAATTAAATATGATTTGCCGGCTGTTTGTCTTTCCACTTACTAGTGCTAATAGTTTGGTGTGTTTGAGGCCGAGTTACCTATGTTTCGGACGTTTAATCATTTCCATTAGACATTTCAGTTAAAACTATGATTGCATTCAAGTATATATCAGGGTTAAATAAAGGGGTAGGGGGTTAGGGTTAGTGTTATTATGTTTTTAAAATTTATATGAATCTAATTATTGATTAAAAATAAGTAAAATAGTTAAAATCACGTTAAAACTCATCTAAAAATAACATTATTTTATTTAAAATATTCAACTAAAAAATTAAAAATTACCTACTTTTTGAAAAGACATCATCATATTAATCAACACAACATCACAAATCATATTTAAATAGAAGTTTAAGATAAATAAAGTTAATAAAACAATAAATATATAAAGTTATAATTATAAAGTTTTTATTAATATTAATATATTAATTAAGTTTAAATATTTTCAATTTTATAATTACTATTACTAAAACTTTAACAAAGATTAAGTTAAATAATTAGTATTCAGTCAATATTTATATAAAAATAAAAACATGAAACACAAAAATAACTCATGTCTTATGAAATCTAGTATAAATAGATCATTATTTTAAAATAAGATAAATAAGTTAAAATTATTTTGTTATTTTATGATAATTTTATAACAATACTTAAATTAAAGTTACTCTTAAATTAAGATTTTTGTTATATTTATTTCTAACCTTACTTTCCGTCTTAATATACAAAATATATTTTATTAATTATGTAATGAATTATATGATACAGTATTTTATAAAATATTCAAATAATAATCAACTTTTTATATAATGGATAAATCAAATTAATAAGTCTAATGGTATGTGATATTTATTTGTGTGTTAGAAATAATTTTAAAATATTATGATATACTGTATGTTTAATATTATATTAATTTGTGATTTTATTAAAAGAAAGTTGTATTGCTATAAAATAACAAAATAATGTTTCATCCATTTTAGTTATATTTCTATTTGAATGAATCTTAAATAAATTATTGTTGTTTTAAACTTTCAAAAAGTTTCTTTTATTACCGATTTTTCTATTTATAAAAATGATATAACTATTAGATACTGTATTAAAATTAAATATAATAATTATTTATTTATTTTTTATAGAGCCATGTGAGCTTATGTACTGTGGTATGTATTGACAATTGACTTAAGAAATACTTTAATTATCAAAATTTTATTAATTACTATATTATTAACAATATTAACATTATTAACTACAGTAAATGTAGATAAATAATAAAATTAAAAATAATAAAATACTCTATACTTGCGATTCAGTACTGTATAATACTTGTATTAAATATAATAAATAGTATCAATAGAATGATAATTTGATTGAATATATGATAGCATATGGATCTCAATGTATTGTTGATGAGGTGACAAAACAGGCCTATTGTCGATGTGCTGAACGATGTGTGCCCGAGATATTTGCACCGGTATGTGGTGAGTGAAACTTAATAATACATTATTTGATTGTAATAATGATAATAACTAATTGAATTAACTTCTGTATTAAACTGCAGGCAGTGATGGTATAACTTATTCAAGTGTTTGCCAAATGAATATCCGTTCGTGTTTTGAACAAAGACGGGTCTTCATCACACATACCGGTTCTTGTGGTATGTATTCATATCATTCAAAAATTTTCAAACTTTTGTAAATATCTTTTATAATAAATTTATAAAACCGTATATACATATCCTCAAGCCGTTAAATATATATATATACCAGTATATTATTATTATTATATTGTAAACAGTGTCTCACATTTTGTTATAATTTTTATATTTTATTTTTGAGTATTGAAAGTATTGAAAATTCTGATGTATGACTAAAGTCTCTTTATTTAATTTTTTTTAATATAAAATGAAGTGAATCGTAATATACAATCTATACAATTATTATTAAGTGAAAAAATAAATAAATTATTATATAATAATATTTGCCTAATTTTGTTAGCTTAATAATTCAAGTTATAGTGGTTTTTATATTTTAATATCTAAATATTGATGTTATACAAATATAAAATATATAATAAATTATAAATATTATAAATGTAGTCTTAGAAAATAATAAAATATTAACTATATTTAAAAATCATTTTTATAATCTTGATCTTTAAAATCAAACAATAATTAAATAATACTAATACTCAATTGTATCAACTGTTTTACAGCATTATTAACATTGATTTTTATTAATAATTTATTTATACTCTTCGATTAAAAAAGTTTTATATTATTACATATATATAACTAAGTATTGTATTTCTAGTTTTTAGTAAATTTGTTAATAGAATTAGTATTTTATTAATAGTGGTCTAAATTTTGTATTTATTAGTAATAAGATTTGATGTATATTTGATGTTAATAAATATGATATGAAATGATATAATATAAAGAAATGTTGAATGAATTGTATGAATTCAAGTGTTATAAGTTATAACATAATAACTTAACTTAATTTATAAGTAATGTCTTGAGTTTTAGCTAAAATAAACGTATATAAAATACATAATTGTAATTATAATTGTTAAAAATGACAAATAATTACTAAATTTTTTTCATATTTGCTATAATTTTATATTATTAATAAATATATTGTATAATATATGCTTCAATGTACATTTGTTTTTTCAAATATCATCCGTTTATAGTGCAAATATAGTTGAATTTTAAAAATTACTATAATCAATACTACAATATTTAAATTTTAAATAAGTTGTTAATTTTGTTGTGTACTCAAATGCTATGGTATTATTTGTAAAGTATAGATTGATTTTATAAACTGTACAATATTTAATATATAAAATATTGTATATATAAATTATATTCTACTAAATAATAAAATAATTATTTATTTATTGTCTTCATGACATTTTTGATTGACATAAAAATTTGATTTGTAAGCGTCAAACCTAAAAAATAAATATTTTTTAATTTGTAAATACATTACTTATAAGAATTGTGTGACTTTTAATAACATTTTCAGTCATTCAATGTCTCCAATTGTGTTGTTTTGTAATCAAAATCAAATCAATTGGATTTCATTCATCAAATCATTTCTTTCATATTATTTAATACAAAATTGTTTGGATTTCTAAAATTTCACCGCAAAAAAAATAATTTATATATAAATAATTTCTTATTTAAAATTATTATATAGTTTTGCTTTAATCACGTCTTTTATATTATTAAATTATCGATATAAATCTTAATTTTTGATTATTGTTAATGAATATATATCAATATATATACTGTATATAAATTAACATTATATTTATTATAAGAAATATGAAAGATATAAATAAAAGTTGCTTTCAAATTGTTATCATTCACTAGCGTTGTGATAATATTTTACAGTAGTCTTAGATCACATGCGCACCTCATATACCATCAATGATACAATTGAGATGGAGATGAAAACCATTGGAGTGAAGAGAGAGAGAGAGAGAGAGAGAGAGAGAGAGAGAGAGTGCAATACAATCGTTGCTCAAATTATTAGTATTTTGTGAAAATGTCTATTAAATATAACAACATTTTCTGTACAATAGTGGACACATGTTTTGATAATTAAGTGAAAGTAACTAAATAAGAATGTTATTCAAAAATCTACATTAAATTAGATTTGTTTGCAATTCATTAAATATATCAAATGATTACAACATTGCATAATAGTTGTAAATGTTATTTTTGGCATACCTTACATAGCTTTTTAATATAATACTTATGATATATGATTTAATCAATATCATATAATTTAACAAATATCATATAATGTAACATTAATTCATTAACAATTTATTTATTTTGTATTTAATGTAAAATAAAATGTGTATATATTTCTAGTAATGTCACTGCCTTTGAATGAATTGTTTATCATTTCCTCAATTAAATTGTTAATAATATTGAATGAATTATTGTTAACTGAAACCTGTTATAAATTTGGTGTAGACATTAAGGACCCGTGTTTGGACAAAGTGTGTCCCTATGGGGCGCATTGCAAACCAAGTATTGACGGACGCAATGCTGAATGTGTTTGTCCGACGGTATGTGCAACTTATGGTGACTCGAGAGGCAGTCGACCTGTTTGTGGAACTGATGGCAGAGATTATCCCAATGTCTGTGAACTAAGGAGACATTCGTGCAAAGAAATGAAAGCCATTTCTGTTAAATTTACCGGCGCTTGTGGTCAGTGTTTATAACATATTTTTAATACATTAATTAAATATTTTATACTTCTATCAATAGATTTAAAATTTATTTATTATATTATATATTTAAAATGTTTACTGATATTAATTGTAATTTTTATGATTTATATTTTGTAACATCAATACAGAATTGAATTATTAAATAGAGCATTTAATTTAATAAAATTTAATTTTTAATTTAAATACCACTTTAAAAAATAACAAATAATATATTGAATTTATTTTTAAAAATCAATATGTTTACTATAAATTTAATTTTGAAATTGTTTTTTTCTAAACCGAAACATAGAATTAGTTTTAAACCCGAAACTATTTTGGTTTTATTCAGTTTCTTAAACCCGATTTTGATTTACCGGTCAATAACTTTAAATAATTTTTAAGTATATTTTTTTTAAAAATATATAAAATATAAAATATGAGCATTATATATGATCAAATTGATTGTTTTGCTTTAAAATTATAAAAAATAGTATCTATAGCTAAATTAAGGCAATTTAAGTTAAGCTAATTTTACTGTATTATATTTTATAATATTAAGATTTTTAATTAGAAAAAATAAAACATTTTATTTCATTATATATTATTCACTCTATAATAAAAAAATTAATTTATATATAAACAGACCCATGTGATGGAGTTGAATGTCCGGCTTCACAGATATGTCAATTGGATGACCAGCGAAACCCAATTTGTCGGTGCAATGCTATTTGCAATCAAGACTTTAAGCCCGTTTGTGGCAGTGATGGCAAAACTTATACCAATGAATGTATTTTAAGAGTAGAGGCATGTAAAACACGAAGAAGCCTTAGAATTATACATACAGGTGTTTGTGTCGGTATGTTGGCATCAGTATCTTTATTTGTACCTATTTTGATGATCAATAAACTTTATATCTAGAATCCAATCCGTGTTCAACATTAAAATGCAATCACTTCGAGGAGTGTGAGATAGACCGCTACGGTATAGCCACGTGTCAGTGTTCACCTTCTTGTAGTCCTATTTTAAGACCTGTTTGTGGCAGTGATGGCAATGTCTATGATTCAGAATGTGATCTCCAAAGACAGGCTTGTATTCTACATAAAGAAATTCATGTCAAACATTCAGGCATTTGTGGTGAGCTTTGATTCTTGTTGCATGAATTGTATACAATGTATAGTATTTTCACAATATATCGTTGTTTATAACTAATATTTGTTATCATAAAAAGTATAATAAATAATTGAGTAAATAATTTAAAATAAATAAACTTTAAAAAATTAAAATAATAATGAAGATGAAGGTCCGTGTAAAATGTCGAGTAATTGTCAATATGGATCAGTTTGTGTCGTCAAACCTAATGGAGAGGCCAGTTGTGAGTGTCCCACCTGTTCTGAAGAGTTCGCACCGGTTTGTTCGAGGTTTGCCATTAATAATACATTTCATATTATATAAGACTAATATTAAGAATAAAATATTTTTTGTTATAAAAGTGATGGCATTTCATATGCAAATGAATGTAAAATGAGACGAGAATTTTGCGAACAAAAGAAATCAACAGAAATATCATTTACTGCCGGACTCTGCAGTAAGTCTTATAGAATATTATTTAACATTATATTATATTTACTGTCTATTCATTCAATTTGATCTATAGTTAAGTCAAATATCAAATTTAATACTAAAACTATTATAATTTATCATAAGTTATAACACACTTTTGGTCAATATTTTGTCTATTATAACAAACTATAGTTACTATAGTATAGTACAATATTTTATTTACTTTATGACATTTTGCCAATTTGTGAGTACAATACAAATATTATTTTATTATTAAGTCCAATGAATTAGACCTAATGATACAGTAGTATAATTTCATTTAAATATTTTTGTGCATTTTTAACATTTTATAATAATTGACATAATTTACTGTATAATGTTAATTAATACTAATTACTAAATAAAAATTATATAATGAAACTATTGTTAAAAAAAGAAAAATGTTATTATTTTATGTCAACCATAAATAATATCGATGTTTGACATATTTCTAATATATTGCTTAAATCTTGAATAAAATAAGAGAATACATTTAAAAATATTATACTTACTATAATCTGAATTAAACAATAATCTAAATTTAATTAAATATCAAACAATTATTATATAATTAGTAATTAACGCTAAATGATACAGATTAAAATTTTTTTATTAGATAATTATGATATATTAATATACAGTATAATAACTTATTATAATTCATTTTTATCAAATATTACTATCAAATAAATTTCACTTAGTTTACAATTATTTATTTTTTGAATGCGATATATTATAATATTTCAAACAAATCAAATTATAATTTTTTTTCAATCAATTTTTTTAAAACATACTTTATAACTATTATAATATTTGAATAAAATTCAAGATTTCAAAACAGTATATATAATCTACAGTATAGAAAAATAATTAAATTTTATTTTATAAAAGAAAAAATTTTAATAATAATTTTTTAAAAATTAAAATCTAAAATTTACTTTTAGTAAAAAAGTAGTTTTTTAAATATAATTAAAGTATTTATAAATAAGATGAAACTATACTTAAAATTATTGAATAATGCTTGAAATGATTGGACAAAAGTTGTAATAAATGTATGATTTGATACAACAGATGGATGCGAGAACAAGAACTGTCAGTTTTATTCTGTGTGTGAATCAGATGGTGAGGGAGCTGTCTGTCGATGTCCACAGACATGTGTTCACGTATGTTAACATCACTAACTTTAGTATAACTTTTATTAATATATTATTATTATATTTGTCAACAGTTTGAATCTGCAGTTTGTGGTAAGTATTTATTAGTAATAATAATGAAAAGTGTGTTAATTGAATGACTTATTAGGTTCTGATGGTATAACATATGAAAATGAATGTGAGCTACGAGTGTCTGCCTGCAAGAAGTCCCAGTTTGTGACAGTGGCTACAAGAGGTCCGTGCGATGTATGTCATAGTGTTCACTGCAAATACGGTGCCCGCTGTGAAAACGGTCGTTGTGTTTGTCCCACTGAATGTCCCGACTCTTTTGAACCGATTTGTGGCACCGATGGAGTCACTTATGTTAATGAATGTGAACTGAGAAGTGCCGCGTGTAAGCAAAACATTGAAATTTCTGTCAATTTTTACGGAGAGTGCGATGAACTCATTACCTCAGGATCTGGTATATTATTTTATACTAATTTCATAATTACATAATTATAATTAGAAATTATATAATTTAAGGTTTGGGAAGTTATAGTAAATTATGTGATCATAAAACATGTCGTTATGGAGGTGTTTGTGAATATGACGAGAATAACGTTCCCCGATGTATCTGCACGTATGAAATGAACATTTCTATTAAATAATAGTTACCATAATATATACATATTAAGCATATTTCTAATTATTATTATTTTTAATTATTAGTTACAATTGTCCTCAATCTGGTCAAGACTCTGAGCCCGTATGTGGTGAGTGCTATTAAATGCTTATAATATAACTTAATTATTACTGTAATATTTGTCATTTAAATAGGAAGTGACGGTCGCTTATATGATAATGAATGTAAACTACAAGAAGAGGCCTGTGGTCGACAACAAGAGATTAAACCACAAGATATGAAAATGTGTGAAGAAGTGAAAATACTTGCGTGCGATGGCGAACCACCGCTTGTCAATCCATTGACAAGAAAAGAGTACTTTTGTGGCGACGGACCCGACTCTAAGTCATGTCCTCCTAATAGTTATTGTCATAAAGGGAGCACTTTTGCAAAGTGTTGTCGAGAAGTGGTTACTGTTCGTAGTTGTCATGAAACAACTTATGGGTATTATATTATAACTAATTTATTTTGTCAAAAAATAACAAATAAATTACTAATTATTTGTTATAAATTGTTTGTCTCGATGTACAAACAGGTGTTGTCCCGATGGCAAGATAGCGGCTCAGGGCGTTAATAATGCCGGCTGTCCTTCAGTCTGTAATTGTAATCGATTGGGTTCTTATTCTCTAACTTGTGATCCAACAACAAAACAATGTAAAACATAAGTTACAATAATTATGATAATTTCCAAATCAATTGAATGATTGTCATCTTAGGTCACTGTAAGCCAGGTGTTGGTGGACTTCGATGTGATAGATGTGAGGCTGGCTTTTGGGGACTTCACAAGATTGGCGAAGGAAATAGTGGATGTATTCGTAAGTATTAACTAATAATGATTTACATGTAATTAATAAAATGCTATTAATTATACAATATATCATAGCGTGTGCTTGCAATGAGTTTGGATCAATTAGAGATGATTGCGAACAAATGACTGGTAGATGTGTCTGTAAAGTTGGAGGCATTCAAGGAATGAAATGCGATGTTTGTCCAGAAGGTATGATATTGGCTACCGATGGCTGTACTGATGGTAAGTATTGATTAAATGATAAATTAACATAAATTTAATTGTGAAATAATGTATAATTGAATGTTTAAAGCCTCTCTGACCCGAACTATTACTGGTTCATGTGTTGATGTCAAATGTCATTTCGGCGCCATTTGTAAGACAAGACCAGGAAAAGGAGTTCAATGTGTTTGTGATATTAAATGTCCAAATGATGACAAACATAAGATAACGTTTGTTTGTGGTTCTGATGGAAATACCTATGGCTCTGAATGTCAATTAAAGTTGTTTTCATGCCGTTACCAAAAACGCATTAATCTTAAACATGAAGGACAATGTAAGGATGGATTAACTGAATTGGTAACAACTGGTCCCGTCAGAAGATCGACAGCTTTTAAGACAACTCAAGACACAGAAAAGTTTACTCGAGATATAAGTTATTCGGACAATATATTAATAAGTACGGGACCTACAGTTCCTACACATTCCGAGAATTTGATGCAAATTGAAAGACCATCTTTTGCTGGCAATTCATACATTGAAATGCCTCGACTTCACGCTTATAGAAGTCTTACAATAGAATTGGAGTTTCAGACATATGAAGAAAACGGTATTATATTATATAACGGCCAGACCTTGACTGGAGAGGGAGACTTTGTTTCACTTAGTATTAAAAAAATGCACATTGAGTTCAGATACAATTTAGGTAGTGGTAAGGTCATCATTAGGTCAAGACAACCAATTATTTTGGGCAAAATTGTTAAAGTTGTAGCAAAAAGATATTTATGGGATGGCATATTGTCTGTTGAGGGACAGGAGGATCTGGCAGATAGAAGTCAAGGTGCTCTCAATTCATTAGATTTGGCAGAAAACCTGTTTTTGGGATTCATTCCGCTAAAAGAAAAGCGAATTTTTGACAATATTGGTACCGATAAGGGATTGGTTGGTTGTGTCATCACTTTTAGGGTCGGACGCAAACACATTGATCTAAGTCTTCCTAATTCTAAAGATATTATCAAACCTCATAACATACGTAAGTTAATAACAAATCGTTGGTTTATATTATTATTATATATTTAAATATAATTTATGTTTTGTTTGAAAGGTGAGTGTAATAATAGCAATAACCAAAGTTGGATCTCCAGGTGATAAATCATAGCAAATATATTAAATATAATGAGAAGAAAACGTAAAATGAAGTTACCTTCAAAATTATTGATGATATATAATACTTGTAATATGAATCCCAATATTTAGGTCAACGAAAGTAAAAAATAATCGGAAATAATGATTCAACGAGTCTTAAGCCTCAATGATTTAATTTCATTATTTTTTAGTATGTATTTGTATTTGTCTTAACTTTTAATTTTACGTACTATACTATAAATTTTCCATCACTGTATATATTTATCATTAATTATAACAATGTATTATTTGTTTTATAAATAATAAATTTATTATAAATAATTTATATTATGTTTAATTATTCGTGTATTATAGTAAATTAATGTGTAAGTGTAATTTACTATCATTAAAATATCTTTATACTGTTTAATTTAATTATTATAACTTTAATATCATAGATAATAAAATTTTGGACACTCTGTGAACACCTGTTACAATTAGATTTCATACAAATTTTGAACAAATTTTAGTTTTTTTGACATTAATATTATAACAACATTATCTAAGTTTACAATTGCAATAATCTCTATAATAAAAACAATGTTTGTTTTATTGAATATACTGTATAAGTAAAAAGATAAATAAAACAAAAGATAACTTTTTTATGTAGATTATGTTAAATCAATAGAGTTATGTCAACTAAATTTTATTTAATAAAATATAGTAACATTAAATATAGATATCAATTTTTATTATACATTAATGTTTAAAAAGTTCTTAAATGTCTAAATAACATCATTATATTATATTATAAATTATAAATACTTAGTTAAATTGTAGTTTTTTTTTAATTATTATTTAATTAAAAATAGCTAAATATTTTTGAAATTCTCAAAACAAATACTTTATTGGTTAAAAATGTTTGATAAAAATATACATTTTGTTTGGTATTAATTCAATGAATTATAATAATTACATTTTGTATATTATTAAAGATAATGTTTTTAAAATGCAATTATAAAATACTAAAAAATTTCAAAATTATTGATGTATTAATAATTGATAAGAATTGAAGTAATAGTTTAGTAGTTTTCAAAACTTTGTTGAATCAAATCCTCTTTTTGTTGTATAAATGGCTTGAATTCAGTCTTCAAAGAATGAATTTTAGGGATTCGTGAAAGCAATCGGATTGGAGTTTCAATTGGTTTGACTTTTAGTGTAGAAAAGGGAACAAATGTCTGAGGAATATCTGATAAAACAGTTTTAGTCAGAGGAATAGTAAGAGGTTTGTGGTTAACGAATGTGTGGTCGACAACGGGTTTGCTTAATAACAATGGCTTCACTTCTCCTTTAACTCCAAATGATAACAGTTGTGGCTTTTGTTCAATTGGTTGCGAACCATACTTCAGTGCAATCTCTTCAGCCGGTAATTGTGATGATTGCATAACAACATCGGCTGAGTTTTTGCTTTCAGTTCCCGGTTCGTTGGTTTGTACCTTCAATTCAATTTACAGCATAGGATAGTATAATATACTGACATTTGTAAACTACATATTTTATTATACCTGAGCTCTAAAACCATTTTCATCTGCAATATAATTGACAATTCGTTTAATTCCATCGCTGGATACTATTGAATACGATCCACGAACTACACCTGTAATTAATTAAAATTTTTGACAATAAATTTTATTGTAATTTCTATAAAAATTATAATACCTGAAGCATCGGCTGATTCTTGTCTAGCAGAGCTGCCATCGATGGCATCAGCCGTATAGCTGAAAGCATAGGGAGATATTGGTTCCGGTTGGCCAACAACTTCTTGAACCAACTGTTCATTTCGTAAAATATTTGTTTTACCAAAAGTCAATGCTTTGCTTAAGCAGATAAATGTCAAGAGAATCTATTTGTAAGATATATAATGATTAAAACAAAATCAAAATATTTATTTTAAAACTTAGAATACAACCAAAATCTTCATAATTATAATATGATTTCAAACTAAATATAAAAATTATTTTATAAAAAGATTTTTTGAAACTTTTTTAAAAAATTGCTTTTATCCACACTATTATATAGCATATATTGATAACGCCTAAAGCAATTTGGGCTCAATTTTGCAAAATATAATAAGAAATAATATTCAAAGCAACAAAAGATGAATTTTTGTTTGCTTTTGTGGGTAAACAACAGGAAAATCTACTTTACCTTCAAATATGATAAAACTAATATAATATTTAAGAAAATAAGGTCAACGAAAGCGAGAAGATGTCTATCAATATATATTTATAATTCAAATACAGTATATATTAGACGTCTGTCTGTAGGTATAAATGTCTTTCCTGTCATTTATTTAACGAAACATTTTTTTTAATTATTATAAAATATTTAGATTTTAGTTCCTTTTTTCAATTTTTAAATTAATTGATCAGTCAATTAATTTGATGTCAATTAGTACTCTCTCTCTCTCTCTCTCTCTCTCTCTCTCTCTCTCTCTCTCTCTCTCTCTCTCTCTCTATTGACTTTTTAAATTTTTATTTTTAAATGATATTTCCTAATAAGTACAGTAATTTAATAATTATAAATAAAATATATTTTTATATTTGATCAAATATTTGATTCGCATTTGATAAAATAAAAATATATTTTCTTATAATAAAGTTATAACTACAGTATATATTAATAGATTAACTAATAAAGTGAATAAATGAATCAGAATCACCATGATCAATTTTTATAGTCTCTGTCTCTCTGTCTCTCTGTCTCTCTGTCTCTCTGTCTCTCTGTCTCTCTGTCTCTCTGTCTSTCTCTCTCTCTCTCTCTCTCTCTCTCTCTCTCTCTCTCTCTCTCTCTCTCTCTCTCTCTCTCTCTCTGTCTCTCTTTAATCTAATCATTTTAATCTCAATTTCGCTTTAAGCTAAAACTAAGCTACAAAACTAAATTTGAATAAAAAGATAATTTTTAATAATAAAAATATTGATAGAATAATAATAATAATAATAGATCTTATTTATAGACGTATACATTTAGCCAGTATTCAGAATTTAATCTAAAATATCATTAAAAACTCAATAAATAACATCTAATTTTTGAAAAACAAAATATCACTAATAAATTATATGATTTTAATGTAATTAGAAATAATCTTAACTTATGACTTATTTTGTGAAGTATTAATTTTAATGGATTAATTTGTCAATAACTCATTGAATATTTTCAATATAATTAATATAATTCTTTAATAAATATTTAATACTTTAGAAATTATTTTTTATCAATATTTTAATCGAAATTTAGTAATTTTATATACAGTACTATAACTAAAACCAATTTCTCAAACCGAAACCGAGAAACTAAAATCAAAACCGTAGTTTTATATAACAAAATATAAGAAAAGATTCATATTTATAATAATTTTAATAATTAGTAATAAATATAATACCAAAAACCGAAACGGTTTCGGATACAACTTCTAATTTATTCAAATGTATTCATAAAATATACGTTTTCTTATCAAAAAGTAAGCAAAACTTAATTTTAATTATGAATACAATTAATAAGTTAGAAGTGAATCAATTATATTGTATTTCTCTTTTTTGTTACTATTCATTTCAAACTTATAGAGCTTTAATATTAATTTAATTTCATACAAATTAATGAAACTTTATTTGAAAACATTCATTAATACAATTTAATCAATTATCACATTACTCAATTCAAGTAATTTTTTATAGTTTTAATAACAATAATTATATAATGATTGTTGTTATTTTAGTTTTACTAATTTTCGAAAAATGTAAGTTTAGTAAATAGTAAAAATCATTATAGATTAAGGCAATTAAAAATAGTTATTACGGTAAGCTTTAGTTCAATTTTGTAATCCATAAATATAAAAATATGCAAATAAAAGAATCATTTGAAAAATCTAAATAAATAAATAAATATATAAATAAAAAGTTTTGTTGTAAAAATCTAATAAAACATGATATTTTAATGTTGTAAATAAAATAATTGCAATATTTTCTATTGTATTAAACCCCTCGTTTAGTGCTTCCCCTTAAACTTCCCCTATTAGGAGGCGTTCTGTTAATACGATTAGGTGGTCTCCAATTAGTACTATTACTACCATTAGAACAGCGTTCAAGACGTGATCCAGTAGTAGAAGGTCTGCCGAGAGACACCCTTTCCCTATCCATTTCAAGTTCTTCAAGCTTTTGAGTTAATCCTAACTTCTGTTGAATTGCAATCCTAAGCAAAGAATTAAGAGTTTTCTTTTCGTCTTCAGATGACTTATATTGTCGTTGAAGTTCATCGATTTGTGAGACATAATCTTCACAACGGGCGGCAAACATAGATCGTAGTGAAGCAAAAGTAGCCGCGTCTTCCTTCAAAGCCTTTAATTCATTACGTAATTTAGTCATAGTTTCGGTGACCACAGCCTTTTCGGTCTCATATTTTGATTTAAGGTTAGCGAGTGCTACCTCTGCTGTCTGTTTATTTGCTTTCAAAACTGTTCTCAATGTAGCAATTTGTTCCCTTTTAGTAGATAATAATGACTTAAATTTTAATACTTGATCCTGAAGATCATCCATTTCACAACTCGATGGTATCACCGATATGTCAGTTGACTCAGTGGGTATTGACTTTACTCTAGAAGAGCGCTGTTCTATTGATGTCTCTATTGCTGCTTTTAAATGCTTTAACTGATCACGAATTGTGTCCATCAAATTTGAATCTAAAGATTTAATTGTTTTTAAGGATTCATTTGGATAATGAAGTTTATCTTTTAGTTGTTCCAACTTAATGGCAGTTAACATTGAATCAGTGTCAGGCTTTGCATGATCTAACATCACTCGGTTTGGAGATTCACCGTTTACTACAACAAATAAATTTATAGTAATTATAAAAACTAATAAAACCGATTATTCAATAATAATAAAATCAAATACACACCTAAACAGATGTGATGATAAAGTGCGGCCAAATCTTCAGATACAGTAATCAAGTCGTCGTGAGTAAGACTCAAATTTGCAAACATGTCCTCAACAATAGTAGACATCGTTTTTAAGTCGTCCTCTAAATAACTAGATTTCACTTCATATGAATTCAATTTATTTTGTAATTTCTTTACTTCATCTCTTAAATGACTCACATTTGAATCATTCAATAATTTGTTAAGAATGCACTTCAATCTCGACAACTCTGGAAATTCGCAATTAGTATCAACCGTATCATCAAATCCTATGTTGTCATAGTCTGAGACCAAGTTATTGATATCTTCGAAAAGTTTCAATAATCGTTTATTTTGATTATTGAACTCAGTTTGTGATTTCTCTAATAATAATTGAGATTCAGATAACCTTTGGTTGAGTTGTATTTTTTGGTTTTCTGTTTCTTCCAGAAGTCTTTCTAATTTCTTGATCTCATTTAAGTGGACTTCACCGAAAAGTGAGCCTTCAAGTGATGATGGCTGAGTATTAGATGGACTTAACTCACTGTTAACGGGTGACCTCATTAGATCCGCCTCTAATTTTTCAAGGGTCGAGTTTGTCTCATCATACGGTTCACTACCATCTCCTACCAATTCATCTACAAATCAAATATAAAATATTATTTATATTATAATCAATATTAATTAATAATGTTAATAAGCAATGAAACAAAAAGCAGTTAAAAAGATTGTTTTTATTAATCACACTCTTATATTGATGAATATATGAAATTCTGATAATTAATAATATTTTAATTCAAGAGTATTTGATACGTACGGTAAGTATAAAACACAATGTATCTAAAAATACTGAATATCGCTACTTTATATTAAATATCTATAGTATATAATTTATATATAAAGTATATTAAAGTTATGTTGTTTTAGAAATTTATTATTTAAGGAGAAAGACATGACAATAGACATGAAATAGTAAGAGATATAAAACTTTGTAAAAAAGCTTGACATCCATTGTTAACATTGATATCGTTTAATAAATTAATGTTTGAACTTATTTTAGTTTCTCTTATAATTTTCTTATTTATATTTGACACAGAGTTATCAATTTTAATACAATGACTATCATTTGTTATTATATTTATAGGTTTATTTGGCATAGTTTTATAATTAGCAGAGTTTGACAAGTTTTTAGATTGTTTGGAAAAAATGCTTGAATTAAAAGCATTGTACTGTTGGTCACAAATATAGCGAAAGTTATGTGAATTACAGTTAGAGTCTATCGATTGTCTCTTACTTCCAAACTTAAGGCCCGCAAAACCGGCAAAGTTTGTCAAATTGTGAATCGAATCGGAATTCAATCGTTTATCTAACTCTTTCTTCACGGCGTACTTCTGCTCTCTCTCTGACTGTAACGCTTCCAATGCTTCTTCCATCTAAATATCAGTCAATCAATTCATTATTTAATACAAAAAATAATAAATAATTATAACAAAAATACCTGTTTTTCTGCAATTTTCTTCAGATGTTCATATTCTTCAAGTTGTGCCTGAAGTGCTTCCATTTCTTCTTGAAGACGCCTAACTTCATGCTTTGATGTCTCAAAATCTATTTGTGACGATTTAAGAGATGATATCTGTTTCTGAAGAGATATGTTTTCTTCTTCGAGTTCATTATTATCAGCTAAAAGTCTAGACTCTCTAAACTTAAGTTCTTTTAACTCAGTCCTCAAGTTTTTGCGCTCCCATTCCATAAGTTCTGTCTGTTTGGTCATCTCATTGTAATCCAAACAATATCTTTCTTTTTCTGACTGAACTCTTTCCAATTCATGTCTTACCTGTCATAAGAAAAATAATCAATCAATCAATGGCTGAATATCTTAGTTAATGTAGTCATATATCACTTGTTTAAGTTCTCTCTCGAGATCGTGAAGAGCCGTTGCAAAGTTGGCCTCTTTATGAGCGGTCTCTTCAAGAAGTTTTTCCTCGCGTTCAATGCCAGTATTGGCCGACACTTTATGGATTGTTTGTGATTTTGTAAATGCCTTCAAACAGACAAAGACAACAAATTGATATAAAAACATCAAATACTATGTTTAACGACAAACATCTCTGAGTTCTTCCAAATCCTTTTTTATGGTTTCGTAGTTCAACTCGAGTTCGTCATAACGTCTCTGTAAGTCTTCCTTTTCATCCTTTGAAATGAAAATATGTAATTCAATGGATGAAAATGATGTCAATTGATACCAATGAAGACCATACCAGAAGAACGAGTCCATACTGTGCTGACTGTATCTTCTCAGCACTGGTTTGTGCCAACTCTCGGTTCAATCGAGAGATCTCTGTCTTTAAAGTATTGACATCACTATCGACCAAATCCATGGCCACCGACGGGTCAGCCATTGGTGACAACTATTTAATTAATACTAATATCATAACTATTTGTTGATTCACTCAATACTAATACTAATAATAATTTCAATCATTTAAAGCATTGATTAAAACACTCAATCAGTCATTCATATGAGTCATACGTCACTCTATATATACAGTACTATACTATAGTAACTATAGTATTGTATAACATATTATAGCAAATGTCGCTAAATGTACACTAAATGTACATTTTATGTGCAATAGTTGTAGACGTTTGACGTTTGATTCACAGTATTAAGTCTATAATTGTATACTTTGTTTATTACGATAATTATAATATTAAATATATAAATATTATTCTAATAATAATAATACCGGTAATAGAATAATAGTATTAATAGTACTAATAGTACTGCACTCTAATTATATAACATTCAAACACAATGTAATATACTTTAAATGTTTGCTATTTATGTAATTATTGTACAAAACAGTAGTTATTATAAAGTATTAATTATTAATAATAAATTGACAATATTTCTATAGTATTATGTTTTTAAACTTACAGATATATACTTTTTTTTAACTAATAGTAATAAATATTTAAATAGTTGTCAATTTCATGAAAAATATAAATTTACAGTTTAGTACATTTACTTTTTAGTATTAATTATTGTACAATAGTTATTGATTTTAAATGTTTAACACTAATACAGTATTATATGATATTTTAATTCAACATTTAATTTAAATACTAGTTTCTGACAAACTTTTATCTCGTGTTTATTAACATTAAATAGTTTGTTAATAATCTTAATTAATAATTAGTTGTCCAATAAATTAAATATATATATAATTGAAGGAAATGTGACTGAAATTAAATTAAAGGAAATACATATCTGTAATGTTGTACTTATGAGACAAACATTTTTATATCTATCAGTTTGCATAAAAATGATTGAAAGACCAAAATTTGATATATAAGTTAAGTGATGATAATGATGATGATCATAATGATGATGATCATGGTCAATTTTGTCTAAACTAATCAATTTACATAGGGGCTTCAAAATATTTAATATACTATATTGTAATCTATAATGTACTGTAATTTATTTATGTCTTAAAAAACAATGGGATCTTTTATAAGTATGTAATACATACTATGTATTAACAATAAACTAATTATTTTTTTAAACGAGTAAAACTAATATTTACAGTATTATAGTAATACAGTACTATATAATGATTTAACATTATAATAAATTTTACTGTATATTACGCATATAAATTAATTTGAAATATAATTATTTAACAAATTTGTTATTTGCAAGAAATAATTAAATTACAAATTTACAAATATGTGTATACAGTATATTAACATAAAATTTTTAGATTAAATCTTTTTCTTTACTCAATATGACAGTCGCATGAAATTTTAATATACTATACCCGCGATACCCGGTAATCATTTTATAAAAGTTGTCGGGTTTTATGACAAATATGATGGTTATAATTAACATAAATAAAATAATCAATTTTTTATGAGAATGAGTGCTTTATTTTTAATGTTTACTACAATTGTTAAAAATTGTTACAATAGTGCAATTAATATGACATAAAATAGTAAATTTTAAATTGAAAAATTACAAAGCTATTAAAATAAAAATGCAATTTAAGTGATATTTAACTCAATGATGATTAAAAATGTCGATATATATTATATACTTATAAATAAATGATTAGTTAGTTATAATTGATTTATGAAAAAGATGATAATTATGTTAAATATGGATATTATTTCAAATAATTCAGATTGGCTTCAAATGTATTTAATTTACATATAATATAGTATTATAGTGTTTATTAATATGACATATATATTAGTCTTCACCCGAATAATCGGCTCCAATGTTAGCACTGACTGCATCTGAATTGAAAAATTAAGTTATTATTATTAGTTAAATATTAACTATTAATTAAAATTGAATAAAACCTTTTGGTTTTTTACTTCTTTTTCTGGTAAAGTTTTTAGCCTTCTTTCTCTTCTTCTTTCCGATTGATCCTTTAGGTCTTCCCCGACCTCTTTTGGATTGTGATTCTCCGGAAGCGGTTTCACTTGCCTTACGTTTACCACAATTAACTTCTTCTTCACCGACTATGACCTGCTTTTTAGGTCTTCCCCGACCTTTTTTATCGACTAAATCGTCACCCATTATATGGCTCTAAAAATCAAATGTTTTAATTTTATTAAATAAAAATTTAGTGATTTATTATTAATTATTATAATCATTATTATGTACTGTATATGTATTTTATTATAATTGATAATTAAATAGAATTCCATTTTAGTTATTATTAGATTAAAATATTTATTTTAATTGCAAATCTTTTATTTAAAATAATATAATATGAATTCACACAACGTTTTTGTATCACTGGATTAAAACATCATAAATGAATTTATCATAAAATTAATCTAATAATTAATTATCTAATTTAAATTTCTAATAACATTTACAATCAATTTCAATCTTAAACTCTTTTATTATTTAGATAAATACTCTATAAATATACATTAATGTGTTTTCAAGTTAGTTATAAAATATAATAGATATAGATTTTATGTTAGTTATTACTGTAGTTATTTTTAATTTTTAAATAAAATATCGGCATATAATAATAAAACTATTATTTTCTAAAATACATATAATGTTATAAAAATTAGTAAAAACATCAAACTAATAATTAATTAAAAAATAATAATAATTAATAATTTAAAGTAAAGAATTGATATCATTTAGAGTATATATAAGTTATATAATATAACACAAGAGTAGAGATGACAGTTAGGGAACTCCTATCTAAAACTATACACACAATACTGTTATGGCGTCCACATAATACATAATCTCTCACTAACATTGAAACTATCATTTTTTAAAATTATTTTTAAATATATGAAATTATTACTGTAACACATTTAAAATACAAATATTGATATTTAAAAATAATAATTAAAAAGAAAAATATGTTATTTCTTACCGATTGAATTAAATGTATAGAAATAGTATAAAAATTGAGTGTTTTATAGTGTCAAAGATAGTCAAATAAAATGTCAAAGCAATCGATGTGTTTCTCTGTGATGACTGTAATGAATATATTGAATCTCTGGTCGAGTATAGCACAGAGTCTGTCCGTTTGTAACCCAAAATCCAATACAATATTCTTATATTATTCACACACCGTTTGATCGGCTAATAGCATACTCTCCACTACTATAGTCTACTATACCCTACTATACCTTACTATACCTTACTATACCCTACTATACCCTACTATACCATACTATACCCTACTATACCCTACTATACCCTACTATACCCTACTATGCCATACTATACCCTACTATACCCTACTATACCCTACTATACCCTACCTCCTTATACTATACAGTAGATCATTGATGTTTAACATTGTTTATCAGTTTTGGTGTACTCTCACAGTTGGTCTCCGTTTCACTCAATTTTCCATTTGCTATAATAATTTAACGCTTTATAAATAAAAATTTTGATTTAAAAATTTTATTTTTTATAAAATTGTTATTAGTATTTATTAACAACTAGTATTTGTCAAGTAGTGAATAATAGTTATTATAAATTTAAAAATTTTAAACATATTTCAAATAAATAAAATTAATTGTTTCAAATAGATTTTGATAATTAGTATATATCATAATAATTTGAAAATAAGAGAGTAAAATAACTAATACAGTATATAAACTGAATATTATACAGAATTTAAAAATATTAGGCTAACATTGCCATACAAAATCCTGAATGACATTTTATATTTTGTTTAGATATACAGTATTTCAGTCAATAATTTATAAACATATAGTTAGTATTATAATATTATTTAAGCGAAGAGTATTAAATAATATTAATTACTGCATGAAAATACTGTAATGATATAAAATTCTACATTTAATTTATATAATATGAGACAAAATTAAAAAATATTTAAAAAAACGGATAAAGACTGATAAACAGACACACACAACAAATTCAGATACAAAACCATTAGAACATAGTATAAAATTTATTTAAACCAACAAAAAAAATTACCTTATTATTTGGTATTTTTATTTAAGTTAAAATTAAAAATAAATCATTCAATAGATATAACTTTCTATGATTTTAAAAACATTTAAATTGATTGAATGATAAAATCAATTTTATTACATTTCGTGTCTTTCGTTATCTTTTAAATAGAATTCAATTTATGATATATTAAAAGTTTACAACAAAATTATATTTATTTCACATAATATTCAATGCTTTTCTTTATACAGTAATAATACTTAACATGTTTTATAAATTTATTTGTTTGCTATAATCTTATAATCAAATTATGTATAATAATTGTTGCATTAAATGTCAATCAAAACAATTATGATATGAAATCACAAACTAGTGATTTGATCGATAGTATGAATGACTAATTTAATGTTGGCTTTGATTTTCGATGACTGAGCTGACAAATGGATCAGCTCTTGATTAAAAATCTTCTCTTTTTTATCGATCAAATCGAGTGCTTCTTCGAGAGTCAGTTCCACATAAAATCCTAATCCTATCATTAAATATATTTTGTCGGCTTTCGGTCTGATATAAAATAAATTAATACTTAAATACTTAAAAAGTATATCATATGTGTTAACAATAACATACACTACAGTCTGTACATAAAAGTTTGATCCCAAGTCTGTCTGCAATTTCAACGGTTCAATGCACTTGTCGTCGGTGACTATCAGATGGTTGTCTTTAATAGCTTTAATCGTTTGTTTTATTTGCAAGTATTGCGCCAATTGTTGGCAAATGAGTTGATATTGATTGTGGACTCGTTTGAGATCAGTCTTCAAGACATCATTGATGAAGTGTTCATATTTGGTCAAAGATGTGATACTTTGGTTACAATGACTGTCCTTTTCATTGGTTGACCACATCTTAATGTAATCATATGTATATGTATTTGAATGTCATATGACTGCGCATGCGCTCCATTTTGATGCACAACACTATTCAATGATTATTAAACTAATATTTATATCAATTGATTGCATATAAAATTTATTGTTTGAAATATTCATTTAATTACTAATATATTGAGAGATCCGATAAAATGTTTGCAACGGTTGGCAAACATTTGATGAAAAGTCATATGAATTGTGTGTTAAAGTCAGTGAAGACATCAAATAGGTTTTTATCGATTGGTACCATTCGTGCCATCAATACATCCAGTGATAAGAAAGGACATGAAGGCCAACATATACCCGATGGTGGTATACCATCATATGTGCCCGGATTTATGGATCCGCAACCTAAAGGACCTCAAACTGCCAAAGAGTTCGCTGATGTCGAGTCACAAAAGGTAATAATTGTGGTGATGTGTATCAGATTTATTGATATTTTAAATGGTTTAATACAGAATTGGATCAGTTACGGCTGGGACATCGGCAACATGAAAGAAGACCGCTTTCTTAATCGTTGGGCATTCTTCCTATTGGTGACAGTCATCACTGTTGTTATGCCTTTTATTGTTTTTCATTATCCGGACCATAAGTTAGTTATCATAGTCTTGATTATGTTAATCAATATTATTATTAATATATATTTTGACGTATTGTTAGCCTTAAGGATTGGTCAGTTAGAGAGGCATACCTACAACTGGACCGAAGGGAACGTTTAGGACTTGCTTTGGTTGACAGGAATTTAGTCGATCCTAACTTATTAGAGCTACCATCAGATGAACAGTTAGAAGACACCGAGATCTTCCTTTAAATCATTTATCAAATTGCATATAAATTACAGTAAATGATTACCATATATACTGGTAATTATGTAATAAATTTAATAATTAGTTGTCTTATAAATTATATTATAGTTACTTACTTTGCAAATACTGTACAATATAATGTTAATAAAATTGAATTGATATACAGTAATTATATGTTTGCAATTACGGTAATATTTTTATTGCTTTCATCAGCAGATTGGATATAATTATTAGTTAATATAGAGATCAATCAATCAATCTTTGTGTACATTTGATTTAAAATCATTAGCAATACATTGTCATCAATCTTAATTTATCTTAATAATTAATAATAAATTATTTACCAATAACTACAATAATCAATTTAAAGTTCTATATATTATACAGTATAATATACAATACATGATAAACAAATTATTAGTTTATCATTACGGTAATTACCAAATGTTTAATAAAAACAAATTAACTCCTATTGTGCGGTCGTTAATACAATTACTGTAATGGAGTGATTGTGTATTGAAAATTATAAAACTTGTTGATGACATCGATCCGATTGACCTGTAAAGCAAAAGTCATATTTAATTGCTTTTATTATATACTGTATTAATTATTGCTTTTTGTTTAATATAAATTAAATTTATTAAAACAGATCACTGATGCATCATTAGTTAACATAAAATAAGCACAATTCAAATTAATTATAAAAATTATATTAAACAACATATTTTCAAGCAATATATCGAAATTATATATTTTTGTTTAAAAAATAAACAATCATTTGTCATTGATTTGAAATAATAAGTAAGCTAATTAAAATAAAATTACAAGATTTATATACAATATATAAAAAGATAACAATAAAATGAATATAAACATGCATTTAATAAATCAATAAATAATTTTTTTAAAGTTCACAATTAATATATATATATATATATAAAAATTGATATAAAGTAATTAAATATTTGTTCGTTAAATTAACTAAAAAATATAAACAAAATAAATAAAAATTGTATAAAATAACCAGTGATGTGATAGGGGGTGTAAATAATTTAAAATAAAAATAACAATATGTATACTAAATGTTCATTTGAGAACCGGTTGAAACCATTGAAACGAGTAATGAATTAAAATTATCTAATTCTTGACACAAGAGATCAACATTAGTGTCATCATTGTTGGCACCGTTGCTCTCATTCATGTCATTAATACTATTAGTTTGTTGAGCACTACTTGTCTCACCTGTATTTGTATTATCACTTGCATTCATTGTCGTATTCTTTGCCATATTAGTGGCGGCCTTAGTGTTGCCAACAGATCCGCTCATCACTTTAGTTGAACTCAATTCTTTGCTGCGTTGTTGCAATGCTTGCGGGGGAAGAACTGGTTTAATAATTGGTTTATTTGGTGGTATAGGAGGAGGAGTGCCTCTTGCGACACCACTGGCCGATAATTTACGCTGAATTGGTTGGTTAAGTTGATTAGATTGATTTGAATGGCCAACATTTTGAACGTTAAATGTATTACTTGTTTGAATCATTGTTTTATTAGTTTGTGATTGATTTATGACTGGATTTGCATTAACTACAGAATAAGTAGAAGTTGTGTTAGTAGTTGTCTTTGATGTGCCACTCGATGTCGTCTCTAAATTATATGTAATATTTTGAAAAGCGTTTGCATTAACATTAGATGATGTTTGCAATACATTAGCTGCCGATTTATTATTACAATTACTATTAAGAGCCTTAGGAGGTGGTGCCGGAACACTGGGTGGTGGAGGTATAGTTGCATTCATTTTAACGCAAGATATGGTCTGTATTGTGCCGTATGAACTTTGACCGGATGTTAATTTTGATGGCAATTGAGTCAATCCTTGGCTAACATTTGCAACGGGTTTGGTTATGACGGCCTGAGCCACACTAGCCTTTGGTTGATTCACTGTTGACACTGAAGGTACTGTTGCTACTCGAGTTGCTGAAGACATTGTAACAATTGTTGAGCGAACGCCTTCACCCAAATTCACAGAATTCGTTTGTTTACCACTAAGTTGCTGACGAAGTCGGTCCACTTCAGCGGCCAGTTCTGCATTTCTTGACTCAGAAGCAGATAATTGATTCTTAAATTTTTGTCGTTCGTTCTCAAAATCATTTAAAAACTTTTCTAATTCTGCTTCCATTTGAAGTGATCTTTTGCTTTCATCTTCCAATCCTTCAACCATTTCTGCAATCTTTCCTTTTTCTGAAGACAATAAGTTAAGTAGTTCTTCATTTTTGTGTCGTTCTTCTATCAACTTTATAATCAATTGCTTTCTTTCAGATAATAAACACAAAACTATTTGTTTTTCTCGATTCCTCTCTTTATCCAAAGTTTTTGCTATAGTTTTCAAATCACAATCAATGGGTTTACCCTCAGAGTCGACACAATCATATGTATCACTAGTTTTTTGGTCACTCTTCTGTTTATTCAATTGTCTTTCATTATCCAATTCTTTAACAATCTTGTTATACTTATCTTCAATTAATTCCAATTGTTCTTTAAGAGTATTTCTGGCTTTTCTCTGTTGAAAAATAAGTGCTTCCAATTGATTCACTTTGATATTAAACAACGCAATGGTCGATGTCTTGTCAAATGATGGGTCATAAGCGCCAAATGCATCCCTCGACAGAGCGTTATAAGGATCGCAGTAATGGATTAAAGAGTCGTTGGTTTTGTCATTTAAATGGATTGGCTTTGAGTTTGTATTTGAATTCAATTTAATAGTCTTTGAGCTGAATATGTCTTTTGGCAAACGTTTGTTTGGATACAAAAGCTTTTTTATTTGTTCCGCCTTTAAGACGGCTATCACTATCTCTCGGGCCTGTAGTTCGCCCTCCAATATAGACAATAGTCTTAACAGATCTGATCGACTCAACTCCATCTTCGGGTTTCTCTGTTGTCATCAAATGTAAGACAATATCAATAATTGGTTAAAATATCACTAAATGGTTATCTCAATCATACTTTTAATGTCGAGCTGGTCAATGGCATCGCTGGTCTTTTTTTGTAACTATTGTTGTCATCATTTGGTCATAATTGTGGTGATTATCATAAGAGATGTGTCATTGTGTCCGACAATCACCGCAATTGACGTGTTATGCAGTCATCACTTCATTCAATACTAATGTCTGTATGTCTGTAATGGTGGCCACAGATGACGACTACAGAGACATCTATAGACAGAATATAACAATACAAACACATTGACTACACGTGTGTTCACAACATTATCACTCGTTTATCACCATTTGATCCACAATATGACCAAAGGATTTCAAAGTAAGTCTAAATTTTTATCAATAAAAAGATACCAATTATTTATACGATACGACAGAGAAGACCAGTAAACGTATGTCTTGTAAAAGACGATACAATATTGAGAAGAAAGTGAGACAACACAACAAAAAACTTAAGAAAGAACTCAAGAAGAAGAATCATCACTCAAACAAACGCAAAGATCCTGGAGTTCCCAATTCTTTACCATTTAAAGAAGCAGTCATTCGAGAGGCACAACAAGATAAACAAAGAGATGAAGAAAGAAGACAATTGGTTAGGAATCAACGTAAAGATGGTCAACAACAGAAACGGGAGGAACAGCTCATGAAAAAGAGAGGATTAACTGATTTGATTAGTGATGCAGAACTAAGAGGCAAACAATTTGAGTCAAAAACAAATGAAATAATTAAAGACAATATCGAAGCTAATTATGAGAAGAGTTCTAATTTGAAGACTTATTATAAGGAGTTTCATAAAGTGATTGAAGCTTCAGATGTTATTATTGAAGTACTTGATGCTCGCGATCCGATCGGTAGTCGTTGTCCACAAGTTGAGGAACAGGTGATCAAGAATGGGGCCAATAAACGACTTATATTGTTATTAAACAAAGTGGATCTCATTCCAAGAGCTAACTTACAGAAATGGTTACAATATTTGCGGAATGAGTTGCCGACAGTAGCTTTCAAGGCTTGCACTCAAAAACAAAACTCAAACCTTAGTAGAAGTAATGTTAATGTTTTGGTCAGTTCTGATGAGTTGTTATCTTCGAGTAAGTGTTTGGGTGCAGACATACTCATGAAGTTATTGAGTAATTATTGTCGAAATAAAGACATCAAAATAACTATAACTGTTGGTATCGTTGGGTTTCCCAATGTTGGCAAATCCAGTGTTATTAATAGTCTTAAACGTTGTCACTCTTGCAATGTTGGCCCGACTCCAGGTGTGACTAAATCTATGCAATTGGTTTCTTTGGATAAACACATAAAACTTCTGGATAGTCCGGGAATCATATTTGCCAACAATTCACAAACAAATGAAATATCATCGCTAATGGCTTTAAGAAATGCAATTAATGTGGACTCAATGTCAGATCCCATATCACCAATAGAGACACTATTGAAAAGAGTCAATCATCAAGAATTGATTTTATTTTATCGTTTACCCGCTTTTCAAGATGTTAACCAATTCTTGACACTCTTAGCTAAACGTTTTGGTAAACTAAAAAAAGGAGGTCTTCTCGATATTGAAGGCGCCGCCAGAAAAGTACTCAACGACTGGAATATCGGGAAAATAAAATATTATACGATTCCTCCGGAAACCAATTCACTCTCCTTTCATATAAGCGCTCAAATAGTGTCTCAAATGAGTCAAGAATTTAATATAAATGAACACATTTTTGATGAAGAAATGAATGAAATAAATAAAATAATTCCACAAAATGTGAACCAAACTCAAGCACTTGTTGTCGAATCGTTTGGTTTTACTTCATCTCAAATAGAATCGAATGATAATGAAGATAATGTTGACGTTATGGATCAAACTGAAAGTGTGGATCAATCTGTTTCCAGTTTGAGACAAACAAAGATTGTTATTCCTAAAGAGAAAAAGTCTGAAGACGTGCAGATGCAAGACATGGATCTAATGAAAGGAATGCAATTAAATAAACAAAAGAAAGTTATGTTTAAAAAAATTAAGAAAAATAGGAAACGAAAACAAAAGGCCGAGAAAAAGCTTTCAAAGAATTTGGAGTCAAATCTATCGTTAGATTTTGAAACTAATTTATAAAATAATATTTTATTCTTTATTAGATTTATAACTAAATACTTGTTATTTGAAATGTATTTTCTGACAATTTATTAAAGAATTTTTGATTATTAATTAAATGCAAAGAAAATTAACTGTAATTAAAAACATTAAGAAATACAATATTAAATTAATTTGATTCGAAAATCAACACAAAGTCAACATAAGTTCACATTTACCGTTAGGTCAGAAAAATTTGGTAAAACATTATTTAATTTTAAAATATATAATTATACTCATAATTATTAAGTCAGATATAGAGAGAAATTGAAAAATATACTGTATTTACAATTTTTAACGATTTATGTCATTTATAGCTGTTTGTCACTTTGATTAAAATATTATCTCTCAAACTGTATTTAAAATATTTATTACATTCAATTCCAGATGGTATATACAATCAGACATATATTGTTGAGTATATGTTTCGAATATCAACAGTCAAACTGGATGTCCTCCAAGAATATGCACACAAATCCTGTAAAACAGTCAAATATTTTCTTTAACTTCTTGGATATCTATTGTAATGATTACTGATTTTTGATTGAATTTATTGTTTTCTCTACAGTGGAACAAACCATACAATTAAACAAATTTTCTATTTAATGCATAATTTTATATTTTAATTAAATAATTTTTTTGTATTTTTAATAATTATTTTTTATTGACTATTGAGTAAGCATTGAATATTATGCAGTTATTTAATAAATTTGTTTACTAAATATTTATTTTAAAATAATTGAAAAAATTGTTTATATATATTTAATTGCATTATATTAAATATTGTAATTAATATTTAATATAATCATAATAGACTATTATTGAATTGCGGAATTTAAAATTTTTGACATTTTAATTTAATTTACAAATGATCTAGACAATTTCCACGAAAATTCTTAAACAGGTATCTAATCATTTTTAATCAAGTTCATTTTGGTGTTAATATAATTATAATAACCTATCTTTTCTAATACTTGAGACATTTCCCTGAGCCCACATACTGGTGCCTACAATACAGTACATTAAAACTTTTGATATTATAAAATTAGACTATAATTCATAGTAAGAGAAAATTATTTTATTCCCGATTATATTCGTTTTATTAAAAACCTCTCACATCTATTGGTCACAGATTTTATATACACTATATTTATGTACCGTATAATAGATTTTTTTTTAAAAATCTCAATTTACTTAAATTATGAAAATGCTAATAATATACAATAATATCAATACACTATTAGTCATAAGTTATGAACATATGCGGGTCAACATAAAAGTTTTATTCTTTACTAATAGTATTAGTAATTACTTAAAACAATTTATTTTCGATATAAAAATATTTTTTTAGTAAAGGTTTTAACAAACTGAATCATTTAGTATATAATATATTATAAAATAAGTTAACTATAATTTTATATTTAACATTCTTGTAATTGTCATAATTGTAATTTAAGTCTATATAACATTGAGATTATTTATAATTTATCATAAATTATTGATGCATATAATTATTATCTAATATTATAAATTTTCACATTTTTAAATCTATTATATAGTAATATATTTTTTAACTAAAAATTTGAAACGCTTTCATTTAATGGCAATTCAATTATTATACTTTATTTGTTAGTGCCTTCGGGAGTGTTAGCAAATTGATTGCACTCTATTTGATGCTAACATTTCAATACAGCCTTTAGTATTGATTTATAGTAAAGTACAACAAAATACAGTCAAATATATAAATATTGCTTTCTTTTGACGAATAACTCCATAATTTTATTTATATTACTCTTACCTCAAGTACTGTACGGACTCTTCTCTATTGTAATTATTTTTAATTTACATACATTTAAATCTATAAATACATGTTTTTCGTATAAATCAACTGTAAATATAATATCTATAGTATATATTTGCCACATATGAGTGATGTAAAAGATTTTTATATATTTGAAATAATATTACATTTAATAAACATAAGATTTTAATGTACTGTATGTGCTGTTATATATTTTTAATGATTTATTTTATAATTATTCTAGTTTTCCTACAGCATACAATTTACACAATGGTAAATAAAACGATAATGGTAGATGAAATATAAAATATTGCAACATTAATTACAGTATAAATTATAGTTGATAAATGTGTTTTGTATAATATGGTTAATATTGTATTATATTATAAATTGATATTAAAAATGGCATATATATGAAGATATGATAGTCCTCGACAACTGAATTCATATGGTGCTAGTGTCACGTGTCAACTAACCACCAAATGAACCCGGTCACAGTGGACTATGCACTATGACCTATGCCCGGTCAATTATCAAACCTAATAATATTTATGTTTTAGCACTCAATCTGATATTTTGTATATACGGGTATATAAGTGATATATAAGGATATAAGTGATATTTAAGTATATATATATATATATAATATTAAATAAAATATTATTATTTTTTAAAACCCATGACATTTGTAATGTTTAGTATTATAAAGAATAACTATGAGTGTTGTCAGTATGTCATACATTGTGATAACAAATTGTCATTCAATTGATGTGGTTTTCAAGCTTACTATACTATATATCATATAAATGCATGAATTGCTGCTTAAGAGTGTGTCTCCACAGCAACGATCCAATGATAGAGTACTTCAACAATTGATTGCTTCAAATATCACCACTAATTGCATGAGACTCTCATTGTTAGGTCAACCCATCACTTGCACAACACATATAATAACTCATTTGTTGTGATTGTTGTGACCCATAATTGTCAGCTTTATTTCAAATACAGTATATAATATATTCTTCACTTTTACACTCATTAGTCAAATGCTATGATTTATGACAAGTATTGTAATCAACAAATGCTTATACAATAATAATAATATAAATTTCATACAACTACTGGTATCTACACTATCATCTAAATCTTAAATAATAAAATAATACTAATACTAAGTTTTACTAAATAATTAGTTTTTACTTTTAAAAAAATATATACTCATTATAAAAATCTTATTATAGAAATATACAGTAAAAAGATATTTAATTCTTATTATATTTTATAATCAATAACTAAAAGGTCACGTATTATAAAATAGAATAATAAAAATCTTAATAATATTTTATTAATTTTTTTTATATTAAATTCAAGTAACTATTATTTTATATTAAATTGAAAATAAGATACAATTGAAATTATTTTCATTTGATTTTCCATCAATTGACAAAAAGTTGTTGTGTTTCAGGAAATTATGTTACAAATCGTTTTTATTATTTACACAAAATGTTATATTTTATTCAAAAATAATTTCCGTGTTATCCGTAAAATTATTAATGTTTAAAAATAATTATATTTGACATTATTATTATTTCATGAATATTATGAAAAATAAATGTTAATTAATAAAAATACATTTTTAAAAAATATATAATATAATATATTAGTTTTATGATACATTAAATGGTAAATTATCATATAATACAATCTTACTGTACAGTATATCAATAAATACTATTAGATTTTATTTACATTATAATGAATATATTAGTATATACATTATAAACAGTATTTTAATTATGTTGTTGGTTAAATAAAATTAAAAAAATAATATACATACATATGTCAAATAATTATATATAAACAAATAATCATACCTTCTATTAATAATATATCAAAAATATTGTTATTTACTATTTCAGAGAAATTATGAATAAAATTTAAAAAGTTCAAAGTAATTAAAATAAAATAATAGATTATATTTTTATTGTAAATTTTTTAGAATTAAAAAACCTTTGAATACTTTAATAATACAAAAAAAAGTTATTTTAAATAATTTACTATAAAATTTTATTATAAAATTAATTATTGTAATCCTTGAATGACACTTTCTTGCAAACACTGTATTAAAAATATAACTTTATTTATATGTAAATATTTGTGTTATATTAATATCACTATTAAATTGTAAAATAGGTTAATAATAATTGTAGAAAGTATGTAAAAATATATTAGTAATAAAAATTAGTTAAATTGGTTCAAAAAACATGTTAATGATAATAAAAATATAGTATGTTTTATAATTATAATTTTATTCAGTAAAAATTGTTAAATTATAGTTTTTATTTATATGAAGCGTTAACTTTTTAAAAAATATCTTTAGAATAGTACCAATGAGTTAAAATTATATTTAAAATATTGAAAAATAGATGAAAAGTAAATATTTGGCTTTTTTAAAATAAAATTTGTGTTATTTTTTAAAATTATATAATATAATATAAATCATGTAAACTATGTATAAATAAAATGTCGCTTAGTAATAATTTATGAAAAACATTAAATTAATTTTATATTAAGTCTCAATAACAAATAACTAGATAAATGTAATATTTTAGTTTAATTTTTTTTAATTACTTTTTAATACTCAAAATATTGTTAAATTTATAAAAAAAATTAATTAATCATCACTGGGGCAAAAACACTATAATTCAACTGGGGCATATATTAAATTTTGATTCAATTAATTCAAAAATATAGTTATCTTGAAAAATTCAGATATTTTAACATTAATATACTAATTGTAGATTAAAAGTTACTATTAAGTATACTATATAATGTTAAAATATCTGAATTTAGTCAAATATGACTATAACTATGAATCAATTTTGTCAAAGTTTAATATATGCCCAAAGATTATATAGATTTTTTGTGTCTGCGATTATAAAATTTATAATATAAATTATTATTAGGATTCGGGAAACTATTTATACTATTTATTTGTACATAAAAGTTGTTTTATTTAAAAAATGTGATTTTATGTGGAAATGTGTTTATTTTTAAATTATGTATTTATATGTGAAATAATACCTGAATTAATCAAAAGTATTCCCTATTTTATGCTTCGGAAAGTTATCTATTAATTCTGAAACACATATTTTAAGGATCTATAGTATAGTATATCTTGAGTTTCATTGTTAAATAGTATCATTAAATTCATTTTT